TATATATATATATATTGGAGTGGGCAGTGCTATTAAAGTATTGCTGCATATCTTTAACTAAAATATAGAATTGCTGAAAAAATTACCTCGTTTAACAATAAACTACAGTTTTGAAAAACTAGCAGTTTACATTGCTTAGACGCTATCACGAGTTCTAATTTAAAAAAGCAGTTTCAGAACATTCTTTTACACCCTAAAATCTTTTAGAAAATGCATGAAAAAAGCATGCCATTACCAAATAAATATCATCGTTAATCGACATTGAATAAAACACCGGAAAAAATTTCTTTTTTTAAAAAAAAACTATTAATTTATATATAAATGGATAATTATTTTTCTATGAAAAAATGTCAGGAACCCAGAACTTAAGTATACAAGAAGATAATTTAGTTACAGTGATGAACTAATTTATAATATAGTAATAATCTGTATTTCTAAGTATTTTGAAAATTTAACATAACTTTATATCAGAACTGTAGATTTGGAGTAATATTCGGGAAGTCGAAGAAAATTTTACGGGAGTCTGACAATTTGATTTGGAAATACTTCGACTCCAGTTTAGCAAACATTAGGTTCTATAATTAAGAAAAAACAAATTTTTTGAACTTGTAAAAATTTTTTAGATGTATATTTATAATTAGTATGGGAACAAAAATATTACTCAAATGAACAATGTGACAAGTACTTAAATTATAGCTTATTACAAGTTCATCACATTGGATCATTTTTGAATGAATTCAAAAACCAAATATTTAGCTCATTTACAATGTAAATGAGTTAAAATAAGAAATGTAAGCTAATTTTGAAAATAATTTTTTATAGTTCCTTTATTCCAGAACTGTTCCTAAAAACACGTTAGGATTCGCGCGCTATGACTTTAGCAATAAGCTTGCATAAGTAACCTTTTTATATCGGATTGAATCTGCCTTTAAAAAACAAATCTAGAAAAACCTTATAAAATCGAGGATGAACCATCATTCGTAAATCAAGAATAGAAAGCATTCTGAAACCGAAGATAAATTCACCTTCTCAAAGATTATTTTAGATTTTATGACCATTGCTGTATAAATTAATAATTCACCGTATAAATTTCCCTCTTCAGACAGCAAAAGTATACATTAAAAATAAAAATAATTTCTAGATAAATACTGCAGATCCACAATTTGCTATTTAATTATTTTCACACGAAGATGAACAATTTTAACTAGTTTAACTTTTATGTTATTGTTAAGGGTTCTGAAAACTTACGTAAAATATTAGTAATTAAATTGGAGTAAACACTTTCTGTTGAGAAATTTTTAAATCAAGCTTAATTTCTTAATTTGAAACGGTTATTTACAAATTCAACCTTTTGAAAATGAATAAGTATTCCAGTTGAAATAAATCATGCATTTTTATGATGAATTAATGTTTCAAGCTCTGTGAATAAAATAAAACAAATTTCATAAGAAAAACTTGAACTCAACTAAATGTTTTGTCCATTGATTTGCGCAATGTTTTTTTCCAATGGAACTTAAACACAACATTTTATTTCATTTAATATAATATTTTTCATGCATGAAACTTTTTTTTGCGTTTTAATGAATGCAGATTAAACATATTTCAATAAAAATAATCCAACATTTTATAACATTTCTATTCTCGGCCTAAAATAGGCTAATAAGAAGAGCGAGTTTTCTCTGATGTGCAAAATGGGATTATATTTGGCTGACGTTTGGATAGTGTTGCCTACTGTTGTCATTTATCCTGGATTTGTTTAAGCGAATAACAAAAAAACTTTGACATATTAAATGCTTACTTCTTGTTTATGCAGTCAATGTCTTATTTAAACAGTGATAAACAATCGATACGACGTTACTCAATTTTTTTCCTTGTATGAAAAGCCCAAAAAATAAATCGCTGTCTCAATTCTTTTTCCTTTTTTTCGTAACAAAATAATTAAAAAATTTTAGTATGTGTTATTTTTATTTCAATTTTATCATGTACTAGAAAATGCTAGGCGGAGTACTAAGAAATGTTTCGCAAAGCTCTGAGTGCATAGATTGAGGAACTCTGATTTAGACTACCTTGTTCTCTTCTATTTTTAATATGTATTAAAAGTAAACTAAATTCTGAGAAATTAACAAATTAAGGAGCTTGACGGAACTGAATTCGGAAAATAAATATTTTTTATAATTTTTAAGTAAGAATTAATTAAAAATTTTAATTTTTAAGTAGGTAATTTTATATAATATTACTTCTGTAAGCAATTTTATATTACTGCTATTGCAAGTAATTTAAAATGGGGCTATGTTGGTTATTTATTCAAAATAGTAGCTACGTAAGTTTAAGAAAGTTCCCTAAACAGTATCGTTATTTCACCCGACTTTGGAGAAAGCATAACTTTTACTCTGACAAAATGGGACATTTAATGTGATGGAACGTGATATTTATGATTCTAATTACTAAGAATCGATGTTCAAAGCAAATATATCCAAGAATTCTAAGCACTTTTTAGAAGACTTATATTTCTTCCAGGACGTGAAAAAACGTCACGGCAAAAGTTCAGGCATTTTGTTTTACTCATATAAACTATTTACGTCCAAATACTGTAAAAAAAAATACAAAAAGCCATTTTAAGGACAAAATATCTTTTTAGTTACATTAAAAAAAACGATATTGTAAACACTTTTACATTTGATTCAAGGACTTAACAAAGCTCCTTAACAGCAATTATTTTAATTATCTAAGCTTTTATAGCTGTTCATTTAATTTATTTAGCAAACGAAATTTAAATATCAAGCCTAACAGCAAACAAAACTTAAAGGAAATGTTTCGTTTGGTGGGGAACTCTAGTAAATAAATTTATTGTTGCATTTATACAAATACTTGATCTTGCTTAATTCGCATGCGTGGATTTCAAATCTGAAATTAGTTTTGCTCCAGGAACTACAGATTTTTCTTAAAATAACGTTTTTAGTTTATTTTTTTGAAATGTTCAAGAATGTCGGAGTGTTTGGAATGTTTGGAATTTCGAAACGTCCAAGCTTAAAAATTATGTATTGAACAGGGGGTCACGCAATCGTTGTGGCAAATTTCCAGAGAAATTAATACTCGTCATCAGGATTAAAATTGCTTAGAAGCCCATGCCCGAAATGTTGTCGAAAGCGTCTAGGGGAGCTTCCCTCTTATGACCTGTTCAGAAAAACACGAAGAAAGAGTTCGAAATAGGGATGCACCCCTAGAGACATTCTCGGGCAGAGGTACCCTTGCAATTTCAAACCTGAGGATGTGCCTGAACTATCCTAGAAGTTTGTTACGACATTTTGTGATCCCCGGTTATATACACTACAGTCTCGATAACTCGAGTCTCGGTTGTTCGAGTTTCCAATAAATCCGAGCTAGTTGGGAAAAAAAGTCTATCCTGCTCCCAAAAAATGACAAACGCACACATAACACAATTACTATGATTGATTTTACTACTATTACTACGACTGAATGTTGAAAAACCTGAATGACAAAAAACGATATTGTTTGTTCAACTCTGAAATATGTGAATAGTGTGTTGAAACTGAAAAAACATTAGACAATTATTTTAAAGTACAATTAGCCTGATGCAGATAATGTAATGAATATTGTAACTGAGTTTAATGTAACAAATGTTCCCTGATCCTCTAATGTAAGTAAATCTTTTTGAAATATATTTTTCAATTAAATACTGAAATTTAAAGATTGCTTTGTTTCCATTCATTGATTAAATTTCCAATTTTCGATAATTCGAGTTTTCGAAAGTTCGGTCTCGTCTACCTCGAATTATTGAGACTCTACTGTATAACGTTTTTATACTTGAACAATTCAACAGAAAAAAGCTAAAAATGAT